GAATAGTGTATGTAGGATGTGGAATAGTGTATACGAGACAAGGAACAGTACACATGTATGTAGGATAGGGAATAGTGTATACGAGGTGGGTTACAGTATATGTAGGATGTGGAATAGTGTATGTAGAATGTGGAATAGTATATGTAGGATGGGGAATAGTATATGTAGGATGGGGAATAGTGTATACGAGGTGGGTTACAGTATATGTAGGATGTGAAATCGTGTATGTAGGATGTGGAAAAGTATATGTAGGATGTGGAATCTTATATGTAGTATGTTGAATAGTATATGTAGGATGGGGAATAGTGTATACGAGGGGGGGAAAAGCATATGTAGGATGGGGAATAGTATATGTAGGATGTCGAATAGTGTATGTAGGATGATGAATAGTATATATAGGATGTGGAATAGTATATATAGGATGTGGAATAGTATATGTAGGATGTGAAACAGTATATGTAGGATGTTGAATAGTATATGTAGGATGTGAAATAGTGTATGTAGGATGTGGAATAGTGTATGTAGGATGTGGAACAGTATATGTAGGATGTGGAATAGTGTATTTAGGATGTGGAATAGTATATATAGGATGTGGAATAGTGTATTTAGGATGTGGAATAGAATATGTAGGATGTGGAATAGTGTATACGAGGTGGGTTACAGTATATGTAGGATGTTGAATAGGATATGTAGGATGTGAAACAGTATATGTAGTATGTTGAATAGTATAGGTAGGATGTGAAATAGTGGATGTAGGATGTGGAAAAGTATATGTAGGATGTTGAATAGGATATGTAGGATGTGAAACAGTATATGTAGGATGTTGAATAGGATATGTAGGATGTGAAACAGTATATGTAGGATGTGGAATAGTATATGTAGGATGTGGAATGGTAAATGTAGGATGTGGAATAGTATATGTAGGATGTAGAATAGTGTATGTAGGATGTGGAATAGTGTATACGAGACAAGGAACAGTATACATGTATGTAGGATAGGGAATAGTGTATACGAGGTGGGTTACAGTATATGTAGGATGTGGAATAGTGTATGTAGGATGTGGAATAGT